TAAGTCAAGAAGACCCGAGTTCAAATTCAGCCTTGGACACTTACTAGCTGTGTGACCCTGGGCAAGTCACTTAATCTCCATTTGCCTTAATGTACTGGAGAAGGAAATACTCCAGTATTTCTGCCAAGAAAACCCCGTGGACAATATGGTCCATAGGGTCACAAAGAGTTAGACACAACTGAACAACTTACAGTTAAAAAAAACAACAACAACTTAGATATGAAATGCCCTCTGTTAGGTGCCTGGAGAGAGTGTTTGGTTACATGTAATTAATGATAGACAAGACGATATGGCTACAATGATGATCCCTGCCGCTCTAAGAGCTTGAAGTCTGACTAGAAATATGGGACAGGCATAGAAATGATTATGGCATGCGTGATAAGTTCAAACAAAATACCATTACAGAGGAAGGAGAAGTAGCTTCCAGTTAGCTGCCACTTGAATTAGTAAGATGTTGTGCTTAGTAGATAGAAGATAAGAGCACTGGTCATGCACTGAGATGTTCTGGATTCAAGTTCTGACTTTGACACTAGCTGTGGGACTTTGAAGAAGTCACTTAACTCTGAATTTCACTTTCCTCATCTGTGAAATGGAGATTCTAATGTTTCTAGGTAGCTCAGTGGCTTGAGTGCTGGATGTGCAATCAGAAAGAATGTGGTTCAAATTTGACTTCAGATACTTTGCTGACTCTGAGCAGGTCACTTAACTATTCTCTGCCTCAGTGTTCTCAATCATAAAATGGGGATAAAAACAACGCCTACCTCTCAAGGTTGTTTTTGTGAGGATTAAATATTTCTAAAGTGTTTAACACAGTGCCTGACACGAAGTAGCCAATTAATAAATGATCTCTTCCCTTGTTCCTATCTACCCCCTTCTATCATCTACCTGACAAGTTGTAGTGAAGAAAGTTAATGGCAAACCAGAAAGTACTAGATTAATATTTGGGAGCTATTATTTCATCTGGGCTTTGAATAAATAGTAGGATTCTGAAGGGTGAGGTAATGGTGGGGAAGAGAATTTTAGGTAGAAGAAACGGGATGAGAAAAGAAAAAGGCAAGAAAATGCAGAGACATGTTCAGGGAATGGCAAGCAGTTCATTTTGGTGGGAAAGCAAAGGATTTGAAAGAGAATAGTGTGAAGTTGGAAAGGCAGGTTGGGAGCCAGAGAACAGAGGATCTCCAAGAGTTTGGACATTATTCTACAGACAGTTGGAAGCCATTGAGGCATTTTGAGCAAGAAAGTATCACGATCACAACTGTGCTTTAGGAAGTGGTTTATGTAATGGTTTGGAGGTAGAGGCACCAAAGGCAAAAACACTATGTAAGAAGCTCTTGGGGTACCAGGCAGGAGCAAGTGAGGGCCTGAGCTAAGGTAGTAGCAGTGGGAATGGAAAGGAAGAGGGGAAGGCATGGAAAATACATCAGATGTAGAAACTGATACAATTTGGCAACTTATTTGATTACTGGGGCAAAGGAGAAGAAAGAATTAAAGATAACTGAGATTTCAAGCCTGGGTGGCTGGGAGCATAGTGATGCCATTAACAGAGATTAGGAAGACAGGATAAGGAACAGGTTTGGTGTGGATGAGAGGCGGGGAGAAAGAAACCAATAGAGAGAAGGAGGTTGAAGATATAAGAAAAACAATAATTGATGAAGTAGGGTCCCAAAGAATGGGACCAAGAGCATAGGTGGTAGGTGTAGCCTTGGAAAATAAAAGGGATACTTTTTCCTCTGAGACAGAATCACAGAATATGAGAATTGGAAGGGACCACAGAAGCCATTTAGTTTAATCCATACCCCCCAAAATTCTTATTTATAAGATTGTTTTTGCCATTGTTCAATCATTTTTCGGTTCTGTCCAACTCTTTGTGACCCCATTTGGGGTTTTCTTGGCAAAGATACTGGAGTGGTTTGCCATTTGCTTCTCCAGCTCATTTGACAGATTAAGAAACTGAAGCAAACGGGGTTAAGTGACTTGCCCAGGGTCACACAGCTAATAAATGTCTAAGGCTGGACTTGAACTCAGGTCTTCCTGACTCTTGGCATGGTGATCAAAACATGTCACCACCTACCTGCCCAAATTTATAACATACCTGGGCAAAAAAGGGAAGAAGCCTAGAAACTCACAGGCTATTTTAAATAGAACTTTGTGGATAAACATTCTTCGTCATTACAAAAGGAAAATAATAATAATAGAAGATCACAAAGGGTTTGATAGTTTACAAAGTGTTTTCCTTACAACCACCTTACGAGGAAGATGGTACAGGTCTTTTCCCAATTTAACAACTGAGGAAACCAAGACTCAGAAAGGTTAAATTCCTTGCCTAACCTAGTTGGGGAGTTGTGGAGCTTGAACTCAAACCCCAGGTGCCAAGTCCAGAAGACCTTTTCACTGTACCAATCTGTTTCTCCAGAAAATTGACTCAAGCTGCAGAATGAAGGATTTGTATTAGGCTAGTGGGCAAACAGATAATGAAATTGAGGAATTTTGAGATGGGGAGGATATTTGCCTCAGAGGATACTTCTCAGCTGGATAATTAGCCATTTTTTGCACCTGGGCTAAGGGGGTGGGGCAGGCTGGGGAGGAAATACTCTGGGGTCTGGCCTTGGGAGAGGAAGCCCCTGGAGTGTATACGTTAATTATTTATTTTTGTGAGCTAGGTATCAAGCTTGGTTGTCTCTATGCAAATACAGTCAGGGTCATGTATGTGGGGGTGCATCATAAAGTTAGGAAGCTGGTCACCTGCTTAGGATAAGAAGTTGGGTTTGAGGGACTAAAGAGAAAGAAAAAAAAGTTTTGGAGTAGCCTGTGTGGGTACATATAAACTATATGGAGAGGGATTGCATCACTGATAAGAAGGGGCCTCTGAAAATGCCTGAAATGCTGTGATCTTAGTAGTAACATCCCCCTCCTTATCTATGGAAATTATAGCATTGTCACAGCTGTCTGCAGCTGGCTTCCTTCTGTGTCTTAAACACAGTCACTCTGTCTGGAGCTCAGTGGTCTCCAATTATTGTGCTAGACCGAATACCCTGACCCTTTCCTCCTATTTCCCCTCCTCCCCATGAGATAATGACAGGTCATCCCAGAGCTAAATCATGTTCTGTTTCACGTCACATAAAGGACTAGCACAGATAAGAGTAGGGGAAGCACATGATTTCTGTGAGAAACCCAGGAAGTTTCAGAGTGGTGCTCATTTTCTTGGAGGTAGCTGGTCAAAAAAGCAACCGAGGAGAGTTATGGTCTCTACATTCTTGGCCTGCCCTGGTCCCCAACCTTCAACCCCTGAAATTAGTTTACTTACTTCTAGCCTAGCCAGAACTTATACGCATGTGTGTACCCCCCCCCCCCCACATACCCATAGCCTCATGATAATTGCTACCTGTTCCCTATAACCTGCCCTTGGCATCTGGATTCTCTGGCAAGATTTTCATTACTCTCTATTATAACTCTCCTACCTTCGGTACCTTCAGTACCTTCCTCTCTGGGGAATCTTGTTTTCAACATTCCTTTCATTTCTTTTTTTCTAATTTACTTCCAATCCTGGGCCTTTATCTAATTTTCTCTCTTCCAGCAACCTTGGTCTCTGAAGAAGTAGAGTTTTCCTGCCTGAGTTCCAAGTCCAGCCCCTTTTGGCTTCCTGTCAAAAATGTTTGTCTTGGAAGTCACCGGGACCCTCAACCCAGGCGGTGTCCCACAGCACATTAATTCTTCTTGCCAGAAATTTCTGACTAACCTTTCTCCTGGTTACAGACGCTCTCAGCCTCTTACTTTTTCTGAGCAGAACAGAGCTGAGGAGAGCTAAGCTGAGCTGCTCACCTCCATGGGCAATCAATAAAAATCAACATATATTGATTAAGCTCCTGCCAGGTATTTGTTAGGTGCTGAGGATAAATTGAAACAGTACCTGCCTTCAGGGAGCTTACATTCTAATGAGTGAAGCAACATATACATATGTAAGTATATACATAATATATACAATGAATGCAAGGTAGTTTTGGGAGAAAGTCCTTTGCATCTGGGGTGGGTGTGGGAGTAGGGTGGGGAGTAAGGATAATTGGGAAAAGCTTTATATTGAAGGAAGCCCTTAATTTCAGTTTTGACGGAAACCTAGGATTACAAGAGACAGGGCTAAAGAGACAGTGCATTTCAAGCATGGGGAATGGCCAGTGCAAAAGTATAGACTGGACAGTGTTGCTTATGAAATGGCAGGTAGGCTAATAAAACAGGATATTAAGATTCATGGAGAGAAGTGATGTGTAAGAAGGGGCCAAAATATGAAGAAATATTAATGCCAAACCAAAGAGATTATATTTCATCCTAGAAGCAATACGGAGTCACTAGAGTTTATTGGGGCAGCAGGATAGCCCGGTAGATAGACTGCCTGGACCTGGAGTCAGGAAGATTCATCTTCTTGAGTTCAAATCTGCCCTCAAACGCTTACTAGCTGTGTGATCCTGGGCAAGTCACTTAACCCTGTTTGCCTCAGTTTCCTCATCTGTCAATTGAATTGGAAAAGGAAATGACAAACTACTCTAGTGTCTCTGCCAAGAAAACCCCCAATGGGGTCACAAAGACATGACTGAAAAACAACTGAACAATAAGAAGAGTTTATTGAGATCTGCCATTTTGGGCGATCACTTTGATATGTGAGCAGAGGATGGATTGGAGTAGGGAGAGGCTTGAGCTAGGAAACCAGAAGAGGAGACAATGACAGTTGTTCAGGTAAGAGGTGTTGAGTTCTTGAATTAAGGAGGTGGCTTTGTGAATAGTGAGGGAAAGAAGAATGAAAGAGATGTTGTGGAGATAGAAACAAGCTAGGTGGTGCAGTGGATAGAGGTCTAGCTGGAGTCAGGAGGACCTGAGTTCAAATGTGGCCTCAGATACTTGATA